ATTAAAGGGGCACCAATAATGAGGATTAGACTTGGACAGGATGTACATAGAGTGGGTTATTTAAAGGGCAGTGACAAGACCCAGAAAGCCCAGAAGGAAACTGTTGTTTTGTTGTAGTGATGTTTTCTTGTGTTTGATTTGATGATGCCTCCAAAAACTACTGATACACCCTAACTTTTACTCATTCTGCTAAGGGATGTTTTTTAAATCAAAACAAATCTGTTTTTAATGTGAAGTGGAGGGGAATTTATGCGGATATGAAAGTAGGTGAAGTTGGGTTTGCATTTCTATCAGCACATTTACCTAAAATAAAAATAAAATAAAAAACAGTCTGTAAAAAGGCTGCTTCATAGGTCTGTTTAGGATAATTATCCTGCTGGAAGATGAAGCATAAACCGACAGATTACCTGAGCTGCAGGAACTATTCAGAGCAGTGCCCTCCTTTGCTGATCTGTCAGCTTAGGTGAAAGGCCTTGTCTTGAAAACATTGAGGAAATGGACAACATTGGAGAACTTCCAACTCGTCCTCTCCTTCCTTTTGAAGGTTCTGAAAAAAGTTGTAACTGAACAACATGATTTTATATACAGCAGTCACTCTGAAGGTTCATATTAAACGACCCGGACAGAATAAATCTCCACTGAATCCAGGAATTGCTCTGTAACACGAGGCACTCCTCAAGGTTCTGCTTTTGGTCCCACTCTCTATCTACATGCTTCTTCTAGACCAATGGATCAGTTGCTATGGAGTGTCTTTCCATTTCTATGCAGATGACACTTTACATTAAAATGGACTCTTGCCCTTATTCTGCTGTATCATCCAAGGTACCCCTACCATCATTGTCCATGGACAAGATAAAAGCACAGATGACTCATTAATTCCTGCAGCTAAACAACTTAAAAAATAATGAAGCAATTTTAATCTGTACCTACCATCAGCTTCACTCACCCCTCATAGCCATAATCAATTTCTCTGGTCAGGATATTTCTTTTCAGTCACCAGCCTTGGTGTCGAGTTTAACTCCCTATTTCCAACTTCAACATTAAGCCGTCTTCATGTTGAAAATATTGCAAGCTTTGCTCCATCACTTATCTTCACCAATTCTTTAAAAAAAAACATCCTCATCTCCTTCAGGCTGGATGGAAATCTTTAGAAGCTTCAGTCCATTCAGAGCAGTGCAGACAGATTTCCTTGGTTTCTTCTCTGTTCAAAAGATTTTTTTATTATAATGCTATTTATATCAATTATTTAAGACTTAGAAAGATAAGTATATAGAAAGTCTATAGAAATATATATTTAAAGGCAGCGCTATAAGGGAAGCGGCTCATGGCGGGGCCCTTGGCAGCCATAAGAACGCAACAAAAGCAGTGTTCTGTGGCACACATGTAAATCGTTCCCCGATCAACGATTTGTACTAGTGTTGCACCAATGCCATTTTTGGCCCTGATATTGATACCATCTGCAAATGATATGTGTGTATATATATATACATGAAGAACTGCATACTACTTAGATGTAAAATATTTGCCATCATGGCTTTGTCAAGCACCTGCCTACCTTTGTGAAGCAGGAAAAGACTACCGGTAATACAAAGTGAATCCAGGGGAACGTTTCATTGCCTTCCTGGAATGGGTGACAATAGCTGAATAAACTTTTGGCTCTCAAAATGCTATTGGTGTCCTATTTGTTGGTACTCGCCGATTAAGATTAACTTGACTCGGCGAAATGGATTTGCTCCACATATCCATCTGGAAACCTTCCGTTGAAGTAATTTTGGGAAGGAGCGAAAATACTGGTTAGCTGATTGGCCTATGTTGGTGATAGACGGGCCAAATAAACCAATCAGATCAACAAAGCATATGACGTACTAACAGAGCGACGACGAAAACACAACCACAAGCCAGGCTCTTGCTGCTGCAGGTAAAGGCTTGTTAGACTCCAGAGCAGTGTTTTGCTCTTCTTTCAGTGAAGAAATACTCTGTAATTCCGATAAAACTTGCTCGATAGCCACGCTAACGCTAGTTTCATCGGCTGAAGCCGCCATGTTCTTTAGACTGAACTGTCGCGCTTCTCGTTGCGTCACACCTCAACCCGCCTCAAAGCCAATGCTGATTGGACGTTCGTTTGGTGAACGGCTCCAAATTTTCTTTAACGGAAAGTAGCCAGACTGATCTGCGAGTGAAACCGTGAAGGCTCGCGAAAATCAGGATGGTCTCACGAGGCTAGATAAAGATATCACAATTTTAGTCTTGGATCGCGGCCCCGCCCAATACTGGTATCGGTGCAACACTAGTTTGTACTGAAACTCAAATCTCAATAACAAATGCAAATTCTAGTTGACATTAAAGAAATTGATTGATTTGATATAGACTCAATTGAAGCTCTAAGATATGATTTAGATCAAACTTATTTCCAATATCATATGATGTTACGCCTATAGCAGGTTTAATGTATTATCTTTAAGCTTTGACTGTGAACGTGGTTCCTTTTTATTTTTATTCGGCAGAACGATGAGGTGATGCCCGCCAAAGTCGATGACGATCTGATCCTGGTGGCTGCAGGCCCCCCTCTGCCCGACCCCTCCTTCCTCAGCACCAAGATCATGGACCTGTGTGGAGACCTGCCAATCTTCTGGCTCCGCCCCACATACTCACCCAGTAAGCACGCTGCTATCTGTAACGATTTCAGATGCGACAAGGGGAAGATTTTTGTGCAATCAAAGAAGTGGATAAAAACGATAAAATTGGGCCAACTGTCTCAATTTTCTATTTAACATCCCAGCTGTTTGGTGTACAGCTGATGAGAGGAGTGTAGTATGCAGAGAGGTCAAAGGTTATAAAAAACAACATTTTATTCGCCTCAATCTGAAGATTTCAAAACTGCTGCCTGAGAAGCAGCTCAGCAGCAAAGAGCCGTACCTGATAAGCGCCCCTCCGCTCCAACATCTGTGATGTGATTTCACTGTGATGCGTGCAGGAGGCCAGAGGAGGAGCAGAGCCATCGCCCGCCAGCGCCGCCAGGCAACTCCTACGGAGGACTATGAGGACGTGGAGGCTGAGTTCAACCCAGAGAACCCCTATCAGGTGAGTCAGACAGACTCACACTTCCCTTCCTCCTCCGCAGTGTTTACATCCGGCCAGAGCGTTCCGGCCTGTCTGGTCGGATAGAAGCGGCTACCTGAGAAGGCCTTTTCCTGAGGAGAACTTCTCACAGCTGCAGGAGCCGCAGCAGATGCTGGGGTCATGGTGGAGGGGCCCGGCCCGTCACAGCAAATGAGTGTATGCATTTCCCCTACGCGGCTGTCTAAAGCTTTCTTTTCAAGAATGAGGCTGTATGAATAACCCCCCCTCCCTCCTTCTGTGGCCCCTCTGCCCTGCTAAACAGTCTCAAACAGACACATCCTCTCCCCCTCCCTTCCAGCTGCTCAGACTGCAGCCTCCCCTCATCTTTGCCCTGTTAATTCCAGGCAGGATTGTACAGGAAAACCAACTGGAAAAACCCACTTCCAGTCCTCCCAGCTGAAAATCCATATCCAACAGGGCAGAAATAAGATCTTATTCATGGCTAAACATGCCCGCTAGGAATCGAGTCACTCAGTCTGACTGCTTTCCTCTCTCCATCCCTGCAGCGAGGACTGGAGGGCGACCAGGGCACCACGGATATCGACCCCATGCTGGACCACCAGGGCATATGCTGCAACGATTGCCGTAGGGGTTACACCCACTGCCAAAGGATCTGTGAACCGCTCGGGGGCTACCATCCATGGCCGTACCACTTCAGAGGCTGCAGGGTGGCCTGCAGGGTTATCATGCCCTGTAAATGGTGGGTGGCACGCATCTTAGGGCTGGTGTGAGAAAACCCCAAACTCATCTGAGACGGCATGGGGTTGAAAGGGAGGCGAGATGAAGGGAAAAAGTTTAAAAGAAAAAGGAGGAGTTGATAACTTTACTTGTAGGATACTGAGTTTGAGCAGATTTGTACCAAAAAGAACTGCTGCTGTGATTATAAACCTCACATCTATAAAAAAAGCTGATTTAGACAATAAAATGATGTACAGAGGCTGCAAATGTTTTTATCCTGAAAGATCCACCAGCATTCAATGCACAACATGGTGTTTGGAAAGCAGAGATGGTGACAATCCTAGATATGAGCAATGTCTGTCCTTATGTCGTCTAAAATTGTGTTAATAAATATCTCGAAAGAACTGCAGAAGTCAGGAGCTTTACTAGGCCTTCCAGGAGGATTCATACATCTGGAGAAGTGAAACGTTTTTTTCATAACTCAGAGGGTTCAACGCATTTATTGGGATTTTAATATGACAAACTAGTATGATGAACCCATATGATATTTTATTTTTTAATTTTGGAAAGATTGACTGACTTTAAACTGACTTTTAGAAGTCTCCTACGGTAGGGTGGTGGCTGCATCATGCTGTGAGATCGGGGAAAACAGGGCTATACTGGGAGAAACTCGTTACAGGAAGCAAACATTTGAGAGCAGGATGACCCAATAACATGACGCTATATTTGGTTAGCAATAACATCTCAGGTGCTTCTGCTTAAAAATCTAATGTTTAGGCAAATTAATAACAGTTTATTCACAAAACGTGTAATTTCAAGGCACTTTACAATTCAAAAAGATCATACAGTCAAATTGATTCAGAATGTTCTAAAGAAAACCATTTGAATGCATCGACTTATTGACTGGAAGGCAATCCCTCGCACCAAGCATGCTTGTGTGATTGCTTGAGTCGATGCAATCAACTGGTTTTCCTTAGATAGAAAACTTTGAATCAATAAAGTGAATCTGTAAAGTGCCTTGAGATGACATGTGTTGTGAATTGGCGCTATATAAATAAACTGAATTGAATTGTAGTGACAGTGGAGAGGAAAAACTCATTTTTAACAGAAAGAAACCTCCAGCAGAACCAGACTCAGTGTGTCGTAGGCTTCCAGAGTCCATTCAGTTAAATATGGCCCAATCAGACAAGAGAAAAATATTGCAATGTCATGCTTTGGAAGTACTGTACTAACCTTGCTTCAATCTAACGACAGGTTGAGATGAAATGACCCTAAGGTTCAGACATATTCATGAAACAGATTCATAGGTTTTATGTTGGTACTTGCAGTTTCCCCACAGCATGATACAACCTCCACCTTGTTGGGTATATTCAAAGGCAGCCGGAATGTTTTGTTTATTAGGAATATTAAATATGGACATCTTATTAAAAGTATGGTTTACCTCAAAGTTGTGATTTCTTTTCCTTTCACATGAACCCAAATAAAAGCCAAAGAAAAAGGTTGTAACGGGACCACATGTAAAAAAGGTCCAGGAGGACGGTATGAGTTCCTCAGCAAGGCGCCGTAAACATCTGCTTACTTTCCATCTGTTTTAACTCTGTCTTCAAAGTTGCTTTTAATAAAACAATGTGCTGTATCTTTCTTCAGTTTTCATTTAAATATTTTATCTTCTTTCAAAACTTCTCAGGGTGCAATATCAAGAAAGTAAGCTTTTAAGTTTCAGGCCTCTTCATTCCGTTACGGATCAAAAGAATATATGTTATGTGATGATTCGTCTGGCTTCTGTCGTCGGGGTTCGGTCGGCGACGCCCCCTTTCTTCCTCTCATCCGGCCGCCGCTCCAAAAGGCCCGAGCCGAAAGTTTTCCAGAGTTCTTTTAATGTGCAAGTCAAGGATCTAGAACTCTTTAATGAGACTAAAGACTCTGCAGCCGTCACGCTCCCAGATCTTACCCACGATGCAAAGCGCTTAGCTCCTTTTGATGTCGCAGAGCCGCCTCGGGCAGGGGTAGGGGGTAAGGATGGGGGCGGCGTGTTTGTGTGAAGGATACTGGTGGAGTGAGTGTGTGTGTGTGAGATGGGAAAAAAGTAAAGTGTCACAGAGCTAAGAGTTCCATCCAGAGTCACAAATGGCTGTTTGATCATCAGGAGAGATGAAACGATGTGTGATGAATTTAACACTTAACTCTGTGTGAGAGGCTTGATGATGTGGTTAGGGAGGCTGATCCATATTAATGCTCCCCTGCTCTGGTAGGACACCCCCCCACACACAGTTACAGCTGCAGCATCTACAGTATGAGGTGGGAGAGAACGCTTCCCTCATCTTCGGCTGGATCCTCGTCCTTGGCCAACATACCCTGGAGGTGGGTGGGGGGGGCTCTTCCTTCACGATACCAATCTCACTGCAATAAGTAAACCCTGTCCTCAAGGTGTCAGCCGTATCTCAGCCGCCTGCTCTCATATCAGTAATACCACATTTCAACCGCTGCTGGCACATAATCACAGCACATGCTCCCTCCAATCCCGTCACAGCGTTCTGCCATCTTTGAGTCAGAGTGAAACATTCAGACACTTTCCATCCGATTCCAGACAAAACTGGCCGAAACAATACAGGAAACTGATTTAGAGACAAAACAAGAAATCTTTTATTTACAGCGAAGCTTGAGTCAGACTGACGGAGCGACAGGAGTTGAGCCATCGGCAGAAAAGTCAAGACGGTCGTCGGTGCAGGTTCTTTACAGAAAGGGGAAAAAAAAAAAAAACATTCATTTATAGTTAGATCATTTATTATGCGATTGTACATTTTTACATTATGCTGAAAATGGTAAATTATAAAAAGAAAAAAAGGCTTTGAAACGGAAAGGCTGAGGCTGGTTTAAATAAAAAACATCTGAAGGCTGAGTCGATGTAATTCAGGTCTAGCAAACACTTGTTTCCCTTTAGCAGTTCGTCAACCTTAAGAAAACCCAAACAGAGCGAATCAATCCCTTCAACAGATCATTAAAAGTCGTCCGACAGCATACAGGGCCTTGTTGTTTCAGTGGAGTGGTAGTGCCTCCCTAAGAAGCTGACCGCTGAACAGGTCGCCAGGCAACCAGGGATCCCAAAGGGGCTCAGGTGGGTAAATGTGAAGACAGACCATGTTTTTAAAAAAATGCAAGGATGGGATGAAGACAGAGGGACATAGGGAGACGGTCAGTACTTCTTGAACTCTACGTCATCTGGAGGCTTCACATCCACCTTCCTCGTCCCCACGTCGCCCCAGTTGGTGCTCAGGACCGTCCCACCAGACTCCATCTGCAAAGGGAGGAGAAATGGAGAAACAAAAGAAAAATCACAATGGTGGAGCAAGAATTGAACATGTTTTACCAAGAGCCCAGGGGGGGGGGCATTTGTTCCATTCTATTTCATTTTGGTTAGAATTTGTAAAAAAAAAAAATAAGAAAGAGCTAGTATTCAAGTTGATCCAGTGCATTTGGTGGGGGGGCAGAAGGATCATTGTTGGACAATATTTAGCACACATTACCATATGTGTGGGGCTACCGCAGACTTTCTACCTCAGATGCACTAAAGAGCATCATCACTGATCCTTCCTACCAGCTGCATATATAAACATCACTGCTCCAAACAGGCAATGTAAATTGTGTGTGTACTATTCTAACCCATTCTATTCTATTTGATTCTATTCTATCCCATTTCATTCTATTCTAACCCATTCTATTCTATTTGATTCTATTCTATCCCATTTCATTCTATTCTAACCCATTCCATTCTATTTTATTCTAACCCATTCTATTCTATTCCATTCCATTCTAACCCATTCTATTCTATTCTAACGAATTCTATTCTATTCTATTCTATTCTATTCTATTCTATTCTAACTAATTCCATTCNTATTCTATTCTAACTAATTCCATTCTATTCTATTCTAACTAATTCCATTCTATTCTAACTAATTCCATTCTATTCTATTCTAACTAATTCCATTCCATTCTATTCTAACCCATTCCATTCCATCCCATTCCATTCTATTCTATCCCATTCAATTCTATTCTAACCCATTCCATTCTATTCTATCCCATTCAATTCTATTCTATTCTAACCCATTCCATTCTATTCTAACCCATTTCATTCTATTCCATTCTATTCTATTCTAACCCATTTCATTCTATTCCATTCTATTCTAACCCATTCCATTCCATTCTATTCTAACCCATTCTATTCTATTCTAACCCATTNATTCTAACCCATTCCATTCCATTCTATTCTAACCCATTCTATTCTATTCTAACCCATTTCATTCTATTCCATTCTATTCTATTCTATCCCATGTCATTCTATTATATTCTATCCCATTCCATTCCATTCTAACCCATTCCATTCCATTCTATCCTATTCAATTCTATCCCATTCCATTCTATTCTATTCTAACCCATTCCATTCCATTCTATCCTATTCAATTCTATCCCATTCCATTCTAT